CATTTTGCAGCGCCTATGAAAATGTTTTAGTATAATATGTAATACATTTCCTGAAGACAGGATATTTATTTACCATGTCCATCGTATATACTCATCATAGTAACACACAAGAGATTCGTCACCTTTTTGACAAGATGTATTTCCCTGTTGTTAATTTGCCATTTCCAGATAGTAATGTCCCTACATCCCCGACCGGTAGCGTTTACATATAAAAGTTGCGCGGTCTTGTTCCTAATATCACCATTTCCATATCAAATATATCAACTACTGACAGATAAATTTACCAGAGGTTTCGAGAGATACATGTTGATTAAGGCTTTGAGAATCCTTGTAATTTCAACCATGACCTCATGGGAAAATAACCAATTTCAGTGTGCAATATAAGTCTATCGATCCTATGACAAGTGGTTTCCTTGTTGTTAAACTTGCGTTCCTTTGAGAACAAGTCATAACTAAGTTGTTCAATGTTTGGTATAGTCGACGAAGCGATGTACGCGTACCCTTCTGGTACACCTGGTAGTAACTCTGTCCTTGTATTTTTTAATAGTTCCTGCGCAACTTATTCTTTTATTTATGTTTCACCCTCGCTTCATCGAATTGTGTCAAGAATTTGTTTACATGTTGGTACTTACATTTTCTTGATCTATTCTCAAGTGTACATTCACTTGCCATAAATCTTTAAATGAAAAGAACAATGATGTATATGCACACTGTGTTAAATTGAACTGTCTTGTTACGTTATATTGACGTTTCAACTTCTGCTCCTGACTAGCTTTGTCACACACAGACCTCCAAATTATGGTTCTTACGAATATCCAGAGTACACTCGCGTCATTGGCTGGGTGATCTCGTGCTCTGTTGTTATTCCCATACCTCTTCACATCATTTGGCAATTAACTAAACTGAAGGGAACCCTCAAATAGGTAATGTAATTGATGCTTTTTGTACATAGACAAGTTCATCAACTTCATTCAGCTCACGATAACGATGTTACAGAGGATACAATTGAATCTCTAATTTTAAACGACAAATTCCTAACTTACCCTAAGTAACCTTCAATTGTTACATTTCAAAGCATTCTCATCCGTCAGCAGCATGCTTTCCCCCCTAACCAAATACCCATATTGCGGTCGTGAGAAGATCGCATCAGATATAATTATAGAAAGCTTTAAAAATGCGCTCAAGTATCCATTTCTTTATTTATTGTTTAGTTCATTCATTTACATTTTTTTGTTTTCTTATTTAATCAATTTGTGTTGGTAGATTTACTGTTTCACATCGACCTTAGTCCCTCGAATGGTTACCTATTAAAAAATAATTTACAGACATTGCGGACTATAATCCTAGACTAAGATATCCTACAAAAAGAGACATTGTGAAATAGTTGCACTCAGTTTTGAAATATAGAGCACAGGTTCTTTATGCAGTGAAGGGTGTCACGATTCAAGATTTATTTAAAACTTTAGGCCACACTAGCATAATAGAAGATCTCACTTAAAACGCGACAAACTTGCATTTCTCTGCCGCCAGTTGGCGAAGAATCCATCTAGTTCAGTAGTCAAGACCTGGACCGGGGACGGTAAAGTGATAGTAAAGAACTGCAGCTTAACAATAAAATTATTATGCTAGAGACTTTTTTTATACCACCAAACTCTAGATATGAAATTTGGAATTTAATTGATCGTTCTATTGACATGGTTGCTAACTATAAATCTGATAGTATATTGATAGCAGGTGATTTCAATGAAATCCAATTAACTTATAACCCTGATCGCATTATTGATTAAATGTATCGATATAGCTTTATTCTACTTGTTGACGAACCCACTCATTTTACAGAAAACATATCCTCTCTTTTAGATATATTTATGACAAATGATATAAGCGTTATTAAGGAAGTTGTTGTGGGAAAATCATTTTACCTGCTGAGACTAGATATCACTGTCCTATTTATACATTTTTAGATGTTGGTCGTAATACTTTGATTGCAAGTATTCAAAGGCATATATGATTATATACAAACGGTGACTATAAGATATTTTGTGATAGATTGAATAATATTGACTGGATTAATCCGTTTGAAAATGTATCAATCGAAATTACACATCTCAAAATGCATTGCAGTATATTGTCATATTTTGACCACTTTACTAAATGTCGCAATATGTGTATTCCATCTTCATCTTGCAATCATCTTCCCGTTAGCACAAACACAGCTAAAGACGTCGATGTATCATGAGTTATATTTTGGTACACGTGTTTTACGACAGGCATGTCTATCAGCCTTGTAGGCTAAAGTCTGGCATTGGCCTATTAGCCTGCTCCTTATGTATGGGCTGTGGTATTCTTCGTCGGTGTCATTGTGGTAGGATTCGAAGGAATGGAAAGGTCAACAACGCTGGTATATAAATATACACATTTATTTGTTGTTTTAAGTATTGCAATTAAGTCAATCACATCACTGAGTACATGCACTGAGAGAAAAGTTCCCAATTTGGAAAATGAGAGAAAAATAACAAACCACGGATGATCTTTATGTACGAAATTATCTTACAAAACAATAAGATCGAAAATGTGCTCAGTTAGTTTTTATCTTGATGTATGATATACACCAGGTCGGATGCTTTAATCAGATGGGTTATTTTTAATTGAGTTTAGTGCTAGCTGTCTACTCCATAGCGTGCCGAGCAAGGACTGGCGTCCAAGTGACAGTGCGTACAGGTTAAAAAACCCTTCACAGATCACAGACTGAGAGAACATTGGCAGACCTAGTGTACTACAATCTACTGGCAGACGAAGACATCCAACTAAAAGACATCACGTTGAACTGTTACATTGTTCTAATAAATAGTACAAACAAGTGGTAGAAACTAAGAAATGTATTATTTCTTTATTTCGCATTCATTTCATTTTTATTTTGTAAGTAAAAGTTTATAATATACCACTTACCAATAATTCATTTTGAGCATATTTATATTCTTTGATAGTATTAACATCAATTTAAAAAATAAATTTCTTGAAGCTTGAAAGCTGATAAGATAGGAGAACCACGTAGAGAGCAATATCTACATGTCAGCAATACCTGCCTGTGAAAGTAGCTAGTTCCTGAAACGGTTTCATAATCAATTTCTACATGTTCCCGGTTTTGCTTTGCTTTTTTATCATTTGTTTGTTTGTTTGTCTATTTTTTTTTTTTTTTTTTTTTTGTTTGTTTGTTTTTTGTTTTATTTTTGTGTTTTGTTTCGGCAATTGCATTTTAAGCTCATAATGTTATTTTTTGTAGTGATTATAGTATCACACCACCAGCAAAGCTTCACTTCAATAGCAATACAGAATTAGAATTGTATGAAATTTCGAGATAATTGACTGTAGAGTGACACTGCTACTAATTGTTTGGGTTTTCCCCTTTATTTCAAAGTTATTTTTACCAAATTGATTTCAATAACTTACGATTCCCAGAGGGACGTCAGTTCTGTATCCGTTGCCATATTTAGTCCCGGGGCACATTTTTTTTTACTCTTACTTTGAAGCAATAATAGGATATCGACCTGATAAAAAAACAAGTATATCTAAAATAGGTTTAAAAGCAAAAATCTATTGAGAATGCAATATGTTGGAGAACAATAAACCTGATTTATCATTAGTCATAAATTCCCCCCTGGATAGCTTAAAGTAAAACATATCAAATGAAAACATTCAATATATGAAAGACTACAATCGAAAAGGTAAATCAATCACTCTATTAATTACAAGAACACGCGGTATAAACCAAGAAATAGAAATGTAAAAGCATGTCTCTCAAAAATATGTTGTTGATATGTTGTATTTCATCCGTCATTGCTTTTATTCTCTTGATGTGTGTCATAACGTGGAGACTCGAGGTAAAAAAAACCCACTGCTTTTGACTTAGCTTTATTTACGGTTATGCTGTGATGAAAAATGCCATAATTAATGTTATAGGCATATGCAAGCTAGCTAAATATCTATCAAATGGTACACATCAGCTACTCAACCTCTCCAGGATAAAATGTGGTAGAGTTAGCATATACCCGGATAAAGTTGTTGAGCTACCAGATCTCTCCACCTCATTTCCTGGATAAAACCTTGAAAAGTATTGCGTGATATTCTTAGCCATAAAAAAACGCATGCTTTATATATCATAATTACAGTGATTCCAACAACTCATATCTGGGATTCAAGAAGCAATCGTGTTTGAGAGTTTCCTGTAAAACAGGATTTCAAAATTCAAATATCTGGGAAAACTTTGGGTTATTCTAGCCTTAATTGCACTTTATTATGTAGTCTAGGGAACATAACTCCCCATTCAAGTAAACTGTTATGAGTGTAGTATCATATCACTACAAATAACTATTATTAACTATTATTTCCGTTATCTATACCTTTAATGATTTCACTGACAATATTCTGTTGACTTTCCCTGTTGTTTTATCGTTGCATGGCGAATTATTATTATACTTCTTAACTCGCCATAATGACTGATACTGCATCAATTTCACTATATGCTTATAGCATTTAAAAGTCATACAAATAGACATTAGTCATGTGGGATTCGGAATGCATGCGACATTGTCATTTGACACAACCATAAAAGCACATGGCGTCTATAATATTAGGTTTCTTAGAAACAAATGTTTCCACGACATGAGATAAAACATAAGTGGTACTAATCAAGAAACAAGGAATATCCTCTATTAACGAAGAACCTTAAATACGCAGGGCAGTAAATTTCTTTTAAGTAAATCCATATCACATGTCCAACAGATTGATATATATTTCGGCTGAACTAGACACACACACGATAACAACTAAGAAGGGTGCTATAAGGTATAGTTTTTATTGCAACTTATTAACTTATCAACAAAAATATGTGTGAACTGAGTTATAAGAAACTTATGAACCATATAATGATAATAATAATAAAAAGCTCTTAAGAAGGAATCAATAAAAAGAGTATGATTGATACGTATAAAAATGCAGATTCAAAAAAGTGCCAACGTTTCATTGTGTCTCTTTGTAGAATATCTCTCTCTTCCAGTAAGATTGTAGTACGCTAGATCTACCAGTGTTCTCTTGGTTTGCGACCGGTCCAGGTTCACTAGTCGATGAGCACTCTCGCTGGGACCCCAGTCACTGCTCGGCTGTGTGAGTGTCTTCCATCTCTATGAGATGAAATAAAGATATGTAGTGTAATTTAGATTTAATAAGGCAACAACAGCACGGTATTAACAGTATCACGTCTTATTCAATATTTACAAATGTATATACAAATCTACGAAATTGAAACGGATGTCTGATATTCCTCAAAAAGTGGTGGTCTAGTAAGTAATTGAAAAAAGATATATAATATAATGTAATATAGCATAATATAACATAATATGATATAAAGATATGTGGATGCTAGCAGATAATACTCTCGAAAGATACTGTACCCGTTTGAGTGAGCCCTGAAAGGTGGCAAGTTTCCAAATCATGCATATGGGTATGGGGATAACAACAACACAAGCGATTATCCAGCCAATAACCAGGGTGTATTCTGGGTACTCATATGAACCATACTTTGGCGGTCGGTATCTGACGAGGCTTGTCAGAAGCAGCATCTTTAATTCATAAAAAACAAGTTGTCATGTTCATTAATTATAAATTGAAAGTACCTCTCGGTCCTTCTTAAGCAACTTGGCATACAATCTTTTATCTATGTGTTTGATCATCCATCATTTTACATGCTCTAAAACGTGAAGGTTATAATAAAATTTTAGACAAATACGATATTGGATGTAAAATATAGGTTCTAACGATTTTCATCTTTTTTATAACTTTTGATCAAGCAGATGTTTGCAATCTTGAGACGATCTCTATTCGCTACATACCAAAAGCAAAACCGGTGATATATAAGCTGCCGCAACTCGAACTATGTGAGGCATTTTTTGTCCAATCATTTCAGTTAAACCATAGTCGACACGATCACCTCCTAAAACAAAATAACAAACAAAGATAAGCATTTTGTAAGGTATTGTTACACACCTACGTCGTGATAATGAAACCTAATTAAAAAAAACTTTTGCTTGTTAGCACTAGAAACCAAAACAATGTCAACAATTTGATAATGCTGATCGCTATCAAATGATGACACCCTAAGAAAAGGAAATTTCAATATCATCATGATGAACAGCTAAAAAATAGCAATGCATATAAAGGTACCGAGGTTATCTAGGCCTCTCGATTCATAACAAGAATCATTTCAAGCAAAAAGCGGACGGAAATGACCACCACAAGGCTTTACACATGAATTTATCTTACTGATTAAAACAAACACGTGCCTTTAAAACATCAATATGAAACTGTTTTCATTACGAAAGAATAAGTAATACTACTATTAGATTGAAATTGAACCATTAAACAACAAAGTTAGAAGAAAGACAATTTCGACTCGTGACCTGCCGAGGTTTCAAAATTAATCAAACGATCCACTATATCGCCAATCCGAGATATCTGTATACATCTATCTAACCATTAACTACACGATCCACTATATCGCCAAGCCGAGATATCTGTATACATCTATCTAACCATTGACCCACGATGACATCCCCTAACAGGAAATGTCAATGTTGCGATGATAACGTATACCCCTGAAGCATTATAGAGACAACTTGCCTTTTATATCTAATGACTACACGAACTGTATGGTTGTCAATATTTACGGAGGTTTTAATGATGTTACATTAATGGTCATTGACGAGAACACGCAATGAAATATCCAGCTGGGTTTTTTTTTTAACTGGGAAATATTATGAACGTCAAAAATAAATAGTGTGATTAATCTTTATGAATGCCTACAACTTATGTCCATAATGATGAGTTATTGTTTTTATTTTTTTTCCTTTGGGATTGATTACTATTGACATACCTAGGAATTAATTGTGCCCCTCTGTTGGCCGACATGCTTTTGTTTCATAACAGACTGAAGTAATCGGAGAGCTACACGAAACAGGTAAAAAAAAAAAGAAAAACTTTAAAAGTCATTTCATTTCTCCTTAAGGTAAATTAATGACGTCGACAGCATGAACAGTTTTCCAAAAAGAGGTATGATATGCTTGAAGATTTCAAATCCCTAATAGTGATTTTACATTTGTGGATAGCAACATAGCATCCCCAACCCCTGGTATTTACATGTCGCAGTTAATTTGACATTCTTACGTTATCACGATGTTCATGCAAGAAGTCGTTAAATGACGGACAAACCTCTAACACAGGGCCTCAAAAATTATTTTAAAAAGCTGATGAAAATCATCGGGAAGATTTACGGCCTTAAAGTGACATCATTGAGACATATTCTATTTCGTTGTTAGATATTAAGCTGGGCTGGTTTGCTGCCCGTTACTTTGCCTGTTGGTCCCGTTGTTGTATACCGTCTTCTTACGTGAGAACGTGACATTTTTATTTGGAAATACATAGAAGGTGTCGTCGATGAAGCAGAAGACGCTTACTCTTTCGGACCACACAGTCTTATTCTCCATAGTTTCCATGTAAATTGATCTTTTGTTCAAGTTTTGTTCTAGTTTTAGTAAATTTGATTTTGGATTATGCATATATGAATACATTGGTATATTCTATTTTCTTGTTTTTGTAAAAAAAAAAAAAAAAAAAAAGACTCATTAAAACTTCACTTTTACATGTACTCACCATAACACCACATAATAGCAATAATCTCCAATAGAGCTATCACTACCAATGACCAAGTTGGCAAGTACCAATCTACTAGTTGGAACATGTAAGGTCCTGCCTGAAACAACAAAATTTTAAAAGTTATATTTTATGCTTTAAGTTTTGCATCGCTTCCTCCCCGTCCTTGTTTATATACGATTTTATAAAAGATGAACAAGTGAAGATCAACCATCTTTACAAATATACAATTTATAGAAGGATGTATTATTCTGAACCATGTGACTATTCAAACGAATTATTGAGTGCCATCGAAGTTACTGTAATTCTCTGGGAATGAATATACACTTTATCTACCAAAGCTTGTTTTAAAGCAAAAAAAATCTTCCTTCTTACAGCAACATATTTTTCGACGCTCATTTTATCTTTAACTCAGTTTGAACAACATTCAACTGCAAGGCAGAAATAGCTTACACTGTTATTTGTAATTTCCAAAGGAAGATAAATTATATTGAGTTTATAAACGCACATAAAACACATAACCCTGCTTACATTTGTTTGCAGTGTATATATGTCCTATATTCATGATTATTTTACCTGTGTACAAAATGGGATATTGATGAGAAGCGTGACGATATTGACCAGTAAAACCAAGTATAGGTGACTATGATGACCCAGTCTATTACCAAATTTCTCCATGAATGACACCACTGTCTCTGTACATACGACCTAAAGCAATAAAGCAAGCGATTATTTGTAACATGCATAGAGCCTCAAGTTATACTTTTATTATCCTACTATATAATATCAAAAAGTGAACTCTGTTTTTTTTTTTATCGGGCAAATCACCCAACGACTGCGTAAGCGAAATCAGACTCGACAGGATTGTTTTGCAAATCTAAGGCTTACCTGCGCGTCAAGTCCAACAACAGTGACAGCAAAGAAAAATATTACAGCCCAGACATAAGACGCCGGGAGGTAGGTCAATGCCCGAGTGTAACCGACCAGGCCGATAGACATACCTGTCATACAAGCATTGTACACGTTAAAAACAGCTTATAAACAGCCTTAATCTCAATGTCATCAATCTGCAAAATCTGAAATGAAGTAACTAATCTTTTACCTATTTGTTAGTAGTTAGTTAGTTTGATAGTATATATCGTTATAGGTAATCTCATAAAACATATCAAGGTCGGGTAGCGCAGTGGTAACGCACTCGCCTTTCACCTAGCCGACCGGGATTCGATTCCCGGAACGGACGTGAAAAGGTAAGGTGTCACCTGCCCGACCACGTGGGTTGTTTCGCAATTGTTGTAAAGTAAATAAAGTTTACATTTATTATTTATTTTTTATATCAATCTATAATGTATGGCATATGTTACAATTTTAGCATCTATCAGTTTTGACTAGTCGAAAATGGCAAGAAAATATCGACATAGCAAAACAATCTTAATTCAAATTCAAATTTGACGAATCGAAAGCAAAATATGAAGAAAAGATTTACCCTAACACGGAGAGATCTGAAAAAAAAACAAGTGTTTCGGAATCGCCAGCGTCCTCTACATCATCGATAAGATCCAATCCAAGTAAACATTAATTTATAGACTTTTTATCAGAGTTGAAATTACTGGTACATGTAAAGTAAAAGGTATAAGGATATTATTTATTACCCGAACTGCCCCTCTTAGAAGATTGTGCAAATGACATACAAGTGAATAACACATTTTAATTCAAATTTAGATAAGATACAAACAACAGCTGTCCTTTGAAGACTCGTCAGGTACACAGTTTCTCGGTGTGGCTATGAGGGATATTCTTGTTTATTAGATTGTTTATCATTATTTCGTTTTTAAATCCTTGCTAAAATTGGTGTTGTCATATTGAAATGGACAATGTGAGGTCTCATATCTTTTTAATAACATTTTTTCATTGTGTTTGATACTATTATTTGGGCAGTTTCAAAACTGTGTCTACACACCAAAAAAAACCAGCATGTATATAAATATATACTTGTGTCTGATAATCTTATTGAGAGATGGTATTCACTTGTGTGTCTTTTGTAAATCTTATTGAAACGTGTTATTCACTTTTGTTAATCTCTTGGAGAAGTGGTATACAGTATTTGGCCTAAGTATATATCCGGGTCAGGTTTTTTTTGTCTTGTGTTTCCATTTTCATATTTTTTGAAAAACAATTCGAATTCTTCATATTTTGGAGTCATGATCTACTGTAACATGACTGATTCGACGTTGGAGAGGTCATCAACTGGTTTTAAGCTTTATAATTCTAGACTTACATGGGTCTATAAGATTTTGATTTCTGTGAGTGATAAAGAGTTATGAAAATAGCATTTTCATATAACATAAGTGATTACATTGCATACGTTCCAAACGAGTAAGCATTTACCTGACTTTACAACATCCTGGACAGGAACACCGATCTCGTTAGCCATCACACCAATGACAGAAAACAGAACGACGCTAGTAAACACTGCTATAAACACATCACCCACGATGCCAATCAGAACATTTCTGTAACAACAACAGTACGAGACTTAAAGCACATTTGTTCACTAATTGTAATCACTTACGGCAATAAACTAGTTTCTTTGGGAAAAAACACAAGAAAATATCATCAGGTCAACATAATCATAATCAAAATTCAAACTCTTTAAAACTAGGGGAAATATTAACACGAAGACTCATGAAAAAGTATAGGGAGTATAAGACCTGCGCTCGTATTCATGAAACATTCTCACGCTCACGCATAGATTTTGTGCTTAAGCAAACTTTTTTTTTCACCTGAAGTCCTTTCAAATTTTTTTTTTTTTTTTTTTTTTTGTTTTAATCTTCGGCAAAATTAGCCTTATTTGTTAATTTTTAACTTAAAGAAGACATCAGGTTTGAGTACAAAATTCATGCTTGAGCATGTGAACAGGTTCATGTATACGGACTAAGGTTTTCAATCATGGTCAATTGAAGTACGTAATTTCACGTGTAAAATGGGAAACCATTTAATATCCTTTCTTCCACATTCACACTCCCTTTCTAGATTTAGATTTTCCCATTCGATCACATTGTATTTTCCTTACTTGCCTCCTAAACATGCATATTAAGTCCCTTAGCATCACTGACAAGTCGTACAGGGACGATACTGTTGTGTGATGCAGTTTAATTCATTGTTTGGCTCTATTGTATCTAACTCTAAGTTATGAACAGGTGCTATTCATTTGTGTTTCTTTTTTTACAATCTTTGTTGACAGAGATTTTATTTGGCCTAGAATACAGAACAATGACTTTTACAAACGTTTGGGTGCAGACTGAATAATTCAGTTTCTTTCCCATATCATTATGCATTAATTCATACGACTATTAATGCCAGATGCGGAGGCATAAACTCGATATTTTGCGAAAGAGGACACCTAACGAGGACTTTTGATACGTCTCTTAATCACCTTTTCCTTTGTATATAGATTGTAAACGAATCTTGTATGTGCAGTTTACAGGAACGTTTGCTGTAGTAAGATAATGCTGAATGCTTACTCTCTACGTTAGGCTGTATTATGAGATGATCAAGTTCCGACCCTTACCTCAGACAGTTACTGTGGAATTTCATGTGGCTTCCCATCACAAGTACGCCTCCCCAGCCTGGTCCGACACTATAGAAGGCCATAAACGATGCCTCTATCCATACCTGTTGTTCAAATAGTACTACTTGTTATTTATGTATCATCTAATACATTATATACTGATGTTTTTTACAAGTGCTGTGTATAATGTGGTATTTTGTATTGTCATATATGTAATACATAAATATATTTTTCATCTGATAAAGCGACAAACAAACCTTGGAATCGGTCAATTTTGTAAAATCTGGAGTTATAAGGAATATAAGACCATCTGTAGCGCCATCTTGAGATAACGCTTGAATCAGCATCGCCAAACCAAGAAGCGGAGGAAAGAATGTGGCAAACAACATCAACTGGAACATAGAGTAATATTTGCAGTAGTCTAACTATTTGTCATAAACAAGACTAAAATTCAAATGCTTACGTCTAGTATTTAGGTTTTTCCACACGGCGAAACGTTAATTAAGAAATATTGATGATAACTTCCGGCAAACAAACTTACAAACGAATGTGTCTTTATAATGTATATCTAAATTTCATATGTGATGAATATTCTAACCTTTCCAACGGTTTTTACGCTCTTCAAAAGGCTAATAACGACAATCACTTTCAAAAGAAATGCCCAAAAGACAAGAGACCATCGCAGCGATCCTACTTCCTCGATACCATCTGACAACGATAAGATGTTGTTCCTGAAACATATACGATGTTAACAAATATTTACATATAACTAATAAGACAAGCATAATATTCACCATTTATATTTGCAGAATGTCTGAACTGTTTTCCGAAATAGATTGCATCTGACGTATCAGCTTGCCTACGACATCACTTCATAGAAAGTTTTCTCTTAACCAAATACATCCAGATAACAGGGTCAGGCGGTCAGAAGTGAAGTTGGTTAAGATTACAATAAACTTAATTGGACTTGCTAGTGCTCGAACAAGACCGATTTCTTCCAATACACATAATAAGGAAATACAACGGGTAACAGGAAAAGAGATAAAGTGGCTAAGAGGAACAAAATAGATGTTCTAAAAGGGGTTGTGTTTTCAAAATCGGCGTTATCCACCCTGTCTGTCTTCGTCAATTCAAGTGCGTAATGATCCCTTCTCAAATCGAATATACTTGTCATCTTATATATTAATAGTAAGAAAAAATCACTTTTCTGATCAATTGACAAAATACCTACATTGATAAAAACGACGAAGAAAACATATCGTGGCATTTGCTGCCTATGTTGTTATAGTCTCATGTTGTAACACATGACAACAAATAAATGGTTCACAAGAAGACACGATAGTACTTCAGGAATTATAAATAACTTACTGCCAGAATTCCTCTTCCGCTGAAACGCCTGTATGGTAGACGAAGGAATCGGTGACATTTGTTGAATTCAACTGGGTTGCGTTAGTGCTTGAGGACAAGAGGGCACGTGATACAACACACGAATTGGTGTTCCATGTGTTTCCACATGATATCCATGGTAAGTCCGTTGTGAAGGATTGTCTCAGATACTCTAGTAACCAGTAACGCATAGTAGATATATAGCTAACGTAATATAAATTCAGAAGGGCTATGGAAATCCCAATACCTGTAACGAAAGTATGTGATACTGATTATTCTTTTATGGTTGGAAAATGTCAAAAAAAAATCATCATGTTTTTCCTGTTGCATACACCTATTACACAATAAGGCAAACATTGTTAGATATGATCTCCTTCGTTCATAATTAAAAGGAAATTTTCGTACAAAATGTGAGAGTAGATCAGACAGGAGAAAACTGATATATAGATATATATCTGAGTTGAATACTTTTAAGATGAAGAAAACAAATTTAACGACTATCATACAATACAACGGCTTACACAACTTTACGATGTTAGCTTTCGGTTGATATTGTAATATTGTCACCTTTGAAAAGTGGTGAAAATTCCCATATTTCAAACACTCCTTTTCCAGAATATTGTCCCAGGAAGACTTCAAGAATGTATAATGGTACAACACAAACACCCAATATTGTTCCGAATGCAAGCAAAAAGGCACCTGTAGGAGGCAAATCCAAAATGATATTATGATTGTGTCCTGCTGCACTGCAAGCTAGTATATGTACATGTATTTGAAAGCAGAGGAAAATAACTAATGTAACGATAACAAACATAACAAGAATAAATGGTCTGCCTTTTAAGAGGAATCCTTAAGTTGTTATTTATGTCTGTTTTAAATATCTGTACACTGTACTGGTTATACTGTTGATTCTTGGATCACAAACGCCTGCGGTGGTAATCAAAGGGAATGGCGTATTATGAAACTTGGTCGCGAATTTTGGAGAAAATGCTATAAGTTCAAATCTGTTGAAATTTAGAACAGTTATAACACTTAATACATCTATGTCTAAGTAATTTAAGGCATTGCTGAAAATCTAGCTGGATATAGATATATATGGTAAAGGCAACACGGCAAAGATACGAATAATAAGTGAATTGTAATATGTTTTGTCTTTGTTTATATATCATGGTATTTAAAATAATAAATTGATTATAAATAATAAACTCTGTTTGATTTCTAATAAAAGTAAAATGATTTTGTTAAGAATTATTTCTAGAGGAAAAATCTTAATTAATGATTTTAATTATAACTATCTAGCATAATATTTTTTCTTCACATCAGCAAGTTTTACATTGTATGAATTATGTGGTCAATTTTTCACTTTTTGATTTTTGATAGTTCATGGAAAATAATGTAAAATAAATTTAAAGGTTGGTACCTGTTTACAGTGTATGTAAAAATCTAAAATGCCTCTATACCTTAGTTCAATGTACATTTACGTATCATATTATAGTCTTATTTTTATTATATTATTATATCTATCAATACTAATTTCACGACAGTTCTCACATATTGTCATTATTTTTTACAATCGACTTTTGTTTCCGCCATTTCTCTTCAGCAAAATGCATCTCCCTCTTTGATATAATTTCTCATACATTTCATGATGTTTTTTAATGTGAATAAATCCGTCTGATTAAATGGTGTACTGTAGCCTGATGCATCCAGACTTGTATTCAATCTATAAAAAATAGCGCGGTGATGAAATTATTGTTGTTTCACCAGTCAATCAAATTGTATTTTAAATGTGTTATTTGATCTTTTGTACAATTTCACACCTACAGCAAATTTTTAATCATGAAGTAATTAGACTAATATTTATAGATATGATAATAAGTACCTCTCAAAATTCACAAAGAGAAAAGAATTGTCTACTTATTTTATAAGTCATATACTTTTGTTGTCTACGACATCTACGGTCATTGATATTGTTTATTGCGTAAATTAATTGGAGTTTCACTACCTTTGTAGAAATGTCAGTGTTGTTTGTTCAAATAAAAATATCTGGTGTCTTGAAGCAGACATGCACCAGAAAACGCTTTCTTCGAGAACTAAGCAAAAACTGAACTTTAGTCTATTTTTCCTACTACCTCCTCCGTTTCTCCATATGAGAAATGGAATTCTCCAGAAATCCGCCATTCCTGTTGAGAACCCTATCAGTGAAACGATGAATTCAAGAGTACTGCTCCATGTCACCCGTTGTTTTGCTTTGTTCTCCGTCACAGAAAAAACCTGTTCTGTTTTGTGATTGTTGTCTCCCTCCATGTCGATAACTAGACACTGGTCGAGGTGTAGCTTGTGTTCGTAAATCCCAAATCGGAAGTGTGAATATAAATCTGAAACACTTTAAAATGACAAACGTGTAACCCTGTACGTATTTGAATAGAGTTTGAGCTGTGTTGCGTTATGAATATAAATATGTATGCACAGTGTTTAGTTGAGTGCAGATGGATATGACCGGATGAAGAATCAATCTGACTATATTTGGGAATATATCTTTGTAATCCTTAACCAAAAACCTGAAGAAATTTGAAGAACAAAAAGAAAAAAGAAATTTTGAACAAGAGAATTGTTTACAAGATAACCATAATATTAAGCTTTCAATCATGTCATATTTTCTTTTTATTATGTTACGATGTTATGATGCTGATTCATAAATTGTGGATCTAATTTTTTCGGCGAACCTACTGAATTGAACAAAAATTATTCCAACATAATCCACTTTGCAGATAATCTACCATCAGAGTACCTTCAGCATCCCCGAAGAGACCATAACATTTCCAGCTGATGGAACAGTCTTTGCCTTCTTTTGCGGGGAAGTACAATTATGTTACCATTGTTAGACTCTTGTTTGGCTTCTGGGGGTGAATTGATTGGTTTATAGGATTTGCCTCTTAACGGTTCAGGTTAGAACGAAACAAAGTCCGCCTGGTGTGCTTCTGATAAACTGTCAGAAGTCTTGTTATCCAAGGCTGAAAGCTTTTCATGCAAGATCTTCCAGAATAATGGAATGTACCGTTTCCTGTGAAATTCCAAGTGTAATATATATATATATATAGTTGAATGAATAAGAAAGGTTTAGAACTATATATATATATATCTGTAATCCGCCTATAAGCCATAACAATACCATGGACATTATTGGTCATTTCTAGGGTTGCAACAGTGACAAATCTTCCAGGACGGGTATCATCCCCAAGGCACTGTCTGACACTCTTAAAGTCCAACCCTCACCTATTTGACTGTAGAATATTATGGGGAATCGTTACCAAGTGTTGCTACCATATCAGTATGAATATTCTTAGGTTCTAGACCTTTCTTATGCAAATACTGAATCACTATTCTTTTAAAAAATTGTTCGTTTTGCAAAAGTCACTTGCCTTGTTTACTTTAGAGTGCTACTTCTTGGACATAAACTGACCAAATGACACCAGTCTTCGGGCAAAAAGCATTATATAATCAGGGAATAGTGGAGCTATAAAAGGACATCCCTTCTTTACTTCTTCAATAAAACGCTCACAACTTATCAATCAAAGCTAAAGTGATATTTAAACTGTCAATAATTTACAAACCGTTATTCAAACTCATTATCACTGAAACAAATGAACACTTTTCAAGAAATCTTAACAATAAAATAATGATTAGCTTTCTGTGTTGTAAATATTGATCAATTCTCGGACAAGAGTAACGACAATACAACCACCACAGGCATACTTACAAGCAACGAGCAACTCTAAAATTATATTGTAAATTTGTTTGTTTATTGCAACTGATGCTACTTAAAATAATTGCTGTTTCTAATGACAGTAATTCTACATTTGGTTCCTATCTGAAAAGTCTGTATTTGTTTCATCTCTGGAATAAAGACCACACTTTTGTATGAACACTAATGATCAAAGTACACATGTTGCATATTCCTTCGGTTATTGATAAATAATTTATGCTGATTTATGTATATCAGTCTTTTATGATCCATATGAATGTAGTAAGTATTGTATTGTAATGCAAATTAAGTATCAGTATGCATATTCTTTTACAAGCAATTCATCAGGAAAAACTTCAAATTAAATGTCTATAAAACATCATAAGAATATGCAGCCAGTATAATGTTTAAATATATTAAATGGCATGCGATAAGAATATCAAAGAATGGTGTTTTTAATCTTTTGGGAAAATTGAATTCCTAACTCAAAATGATTAAAAGCTGGAAATATCAAAAATCAATTTATAATGTTGATTTACATTTCATATCCACTGTTTGTATTAAGGCGATTTCATTAGAGACTGCTCTGAACTATTCATAAACACATTTCATTAATTTTTGTCTAACAAGATAATCAAATTAATTAGGAATAGTTTATTTACATATAAATAAACTGTATTACGTACCTTTATAGTTTCGTAAATTGAAAGGCGAACGGGTATCTTTGTATTTTGATAACAGAGTGCAATTCAACTCCTCTAGATGTCGCCCATACTTAGTTAGTGACGCTACCTTGATACATACTTTCAACAAAACGGTCGCTATGCTTTATGTTATAATCTCACATAACACGCTTTGTGACCTTATCAAGTCAGATGTACGAAGGAAGTTTAAAATGCCATGTATATGATTATGCATACAGCGATAAAATATGATGTGTCAACTTCATCGGAGCGGCACAAAACAGGTATGAAAGAAAGACATTGTTAACAGGTGTCTATGATCAAATTTTTCATTTCGTGGTCACCCTGAACTATAAACACCAGTAATAATCTGTTTAAATGATAATCCAGGTAGAGACTAATCAATAACAAAATCACAATTTCCAAAACGCTGAGGCTGTCATCAAGATTTGAAGTTTAAATGTCTGTATATATACAGGTTTATGCACGGGTTTTATCATTATATTGTTTAGTTTCTGGGGAAAAATGCATATGCTTTCATCATTATATCGTTTGAATAATTATGATATTATTATATTATTCGATATTCTTTATGTCTCCATATAATTAAGACATGTGATATACACACAAAATGCCATTATAGTATTGTGAAACTTAAGATATTATTGTACAACTTCATTGTGCCCTAGGTACGATTCTTTTCCAATCCGAAGTAAACATGACTTATTTCGAAACAAAATGAAATGGGCGCAGTTTGTTCCCACAGGTATCCATTTGTCTGTTACAAAGAAACAAGGGAAAATCCGGCATGTGGAAATAATCATAATCGAAAATTGAAGTCAATGACACTAAGACAAATTATGAACAAAAGAAATGGTAATCTTTCATATGTATAATGTTAGAGCATGGTTGGTTATTAAATGAGATCTTGAGTAACCTATGGTGATATATGTCCCCGGGTTGAATTAACAATTTTCTGCAGTTTCCATTCTTGCACAAGCTAACAAACTTAAATGATAATATCAATTTATTCCATTAATATATCGTGCAGTGAAGATTAGTCAACATACAATTAATATAATTTCAAATGAAACCCGCATTTTTACGGCTTAAAGAATACATTGCAGTCGTAACAAAGGCTTTTAACTAAGCGTTCCCTTAAAAAACCATGAAATACTATATTCTTAAGTTCAATGTTCTACTAAAATTTAAATAAGCGGTAGTGATTCCCAATGAAAACAACATTAGGATATTTTTTTAAAATATTTATTCAAAAACAAAATGAATAAATATGTAAATTGAAGTTATAGTTATATGGGATTTCTTTGCAACGGTGACATTGACAAGAGAATAATTTACAATTATGCTTGAGTTTACGAAACTTAAAGCACATTCATCTATGGTATCAATAGATATATTTACAATTACAGATGTACAAAATAGATAGTAAAGATGCATGTAAAAAGCATCAAAAGACTGAGTTTTTATCAAAATAATCCAACAACTTCACTGTGTCTGTTCGAAGTACACCTTAGCCTGCCAGTCAGATTGTAATACGCTAGGTCTACTAGAGACCTCCTGTGCTGTGAGCGGTCTAGGTTCTCTAATCGACCAGCCCTCTCAATAGGACCCCAGCCACTGCTTGGATATGTAAGTATCTTCCATTTCTGTGTGAACAAGAAAATTATAATAATAAAAAAAATAACTAGTATGCATATATTCATACATATCTTAGTCCCGGACTTATCTTTGATAAAAGTCAACAAAATATACTATTAGAGACAACGGGTTCCTTACGTACAGTCAGTTATCAAAATCAAACTGTATATGGAAGTTGTCAAGTATATGAAATTACTTTTACAATGCTGAATTATGTCCACAGTGAATCTTTTCAATAGTGTTTTCAATATTTCATTTTTAATATTTACGAATGAATTGTATTGTCATAAAAAACGAATTCACCCAAACAAGACGGATACGTTTACTAAATTACCTGCTTCAGTGTTCCCTTCAGTTTGGTGAATTGCCAAATCACGTGTAAAGGAATAGGAGCGACAACAGCGCAAGATATCACCCAGCCAATGACACGTGTGTATCCTGGGTATTGGTACAGACCGTACTTTGGTGGTCTATACGTGACAAAGCTGCTTACGAGCAGCATCTGAAATGCCATATAGCACACAAATGATTAAGTTAAATTTGCCATACACGTTTCTTGAAAATCAAATATCCGTAGTATGCAGTGCATAATTGTATAAAGCGATCATAGGCAAAATAAGGTTTCGTTTCCTCATAATCTGCTTCGGTGACATAAAAAAAAGAAATCCTAATGATAAGTTACTTTAAGGTAATTAACTGGTTTAAATTAATCATTTCAATCATTCACTAGAGTACTATATCTCTAACACTAATTTTAAAACTCTACCTACAATAAACAAAAATGGGGATATGTAAGCCGCAGTCAGCCTAACAAGGTGTGGCATTTTTCGACCAGTCATGCTTTGTAAACCACAGTCCACACGATCACCTCCTGCAAAATCAGTCTACAATATATTGTCATTATATAATATATATGTTAAATATTGTTAATTTGTTATATCTTAACATCTACTTGACACAATATTCGTTTTTGGCTAAACAAGAAGCGCAGTATTCTCAGTGGTTTCTATTCTTTTTGAACAAGTTATTTTCGAAGACTAAGAATGATATATTGAAATCTTCACCTATCTTTTTTTCAATATATTTATGAAATATAACCATGCAGCTTTCCATTTAATTTGTATATGATGATATTACCAATCGAATCAGAGATATTTATTTCATAGGGACGACTAAAGCCATATAAAGTTGTTATTATCCATCCAATATCGTGCACAGGCCTATGAGGTAAGAGTCTTACAAAATCTTAATGATAACTTTCACATGACATACTTAGCTGATAGTATACTTATGCCAATAAATCTTACACATTTCGAAACCACACACTCAGTGTTAATGGGTCAGAAAATAGTTTTAAGATACTCGCAACATGTAAATTTATACATAATCAGCAAACGAAACCATGTAGAGAGGGGAAAAGATTAATATGCAAAGCGATTTATGTAGGATTGCATAACAACTAGCGTATATTTAATGTACACAAAATTTAAGACTCGGCATCCAACCCTCGATTTTGTTGTGACAACACATGCAAACGATAGTATAATGCAATAGTTTTCGGGATACCTTCCGGTCTGGTGCTCCTGGTAGGAAATGATTTTTTTTTAGATTGGCAACAATATCTGAAACGACTACGGCTATGTAATGGTAACGTTAGGATTAAAAAACGAATAGTTAGGTTGTTAAGGTAGTTAAACCTTGAGGTTATGCCGGTTTATCAAGGGCAATTTCAAGCAAATGTTTATGAAGAACAGTGCTTGAGATATCTTTGACGATACAAAATTGATCGTTTATAAAAATACAATTTCAGAAGAATCAGATGAAAGAAAATTTCATATATGAATATAATCCTTCCTAATTTAGATTCAATAAACAAACAAAAAATAACGTTAATATATTCATTCGGTGACAAAAGAATATCATTATTCGGAGCGTAAATATGGCCAGAGATAGACAAAATATTTCCAATCTGTACCTGACTTCATAATGTTTTCGACCTGGGCATCAGCATCAGCAGGAAGGAAGATTTAACTATTAATCATACTAACCATAGAACCACATAATGGCGATAACTTCTAGTAGGCCTATCATAACCACTGACCATGTAGGTAAGTACCAGTCTACCAGCTGGAACATGTAAGGTCCCGCCTAAACATTAGATAGTAAAATCGATATAAAAAACAACTTGCAGATTTCGTAAAGAATTTCAAACTTATTTCAGTTTTCACTATAGTTAGTTTACAAGATAGACGTGACCGTGTAGAAAAGTAATATAACCACTATTACAGAGTATCGGAATACAGAGTTTCATTCCAATATTGTACTAACCTGTGTACAAAATGGGAGATTGATGATAAGTGTTACTACATTGACCATCAGCACTAGGTATAGATGACTATGACGGCCCAGTCTATTACCAAATCCTTCCAGGAAAGACACCACTGTCTCTGTACAAACAGCCTATAAACATATTATAAGAAATTTGAAAGGCTTTTTTTTTAAAAGTAATATCTATAATATTTTTTTGTTTTTTGTTATCTATATCAAAGAACACTACCAATTACCATAGTTTAATATAGTGAATAATTAGGATACTTAAAAACTAATATTTTTTATCAAGTAATGCGTCATTTTATTATTTAAACATAGGCATTTTTGGCATACCTGTGCGTCAAGTCCGACAATAGTGATAGCGAAGAAAAATATCACAGCCCAGACGTAAGGTGCAGGGAGGTAGGTCATTGCTCGACTGTAGCCGACCAGGCCGATAGACATACCTGTAACAAAATCCTTGTTTGCGGTTACAATACGTTCAAGGTAAATGACTTTATTTATATGGTAAACACTCTCAGCTTGTTTCTGTTCTAGTTATAAAATCTTCAGAATAAATAATTCAAATACACAAACATAAGTAAATCCTTCTAATTAATATTGCAGATTTCAGTAAACAAGAAAGAAAAAGTTATTGATCAGAACGTAAGAGTTTATTTGTTTTCATCTAACTTATAATAGTTTGTACACAGGCTATGTTGGTATCTGTCGTCTAAGTTTATACCTGACTTCACAACGTTTTCGACAGGGACATCCATCTCACTCGCCATCACACCAATGACAGAGAATAAGACGACGCTACTAAAAACTGCTATAAAGACATCGCCCGCGATTGCGATCAGCACATTTCTACAATGCAAATGATTATGACTGGATTTTGAAAGATCCATATGTTTTCGAAAAAATATATTGCTCCATGTTAAACATATTTTGGAAAGATAGAACAAGTAACCAATATACATACACCACACATCACATATTTGTATTTACAGATATATAGTTATTTTGTTTAATAAATTCTTGCTAGAGTAGATTTCTTTCCTTTAATTTGATGTCACGAATACTTGATAAAACATTATCATTGACTGAACACATTGTGTTGTTGGACGATTCAATCAACAATTTGATAAAAGCCCTGGCAACATTCCACACACTATAAAAGAAGCCAGTTAACCATGATTTAAGGATATTGGATAAAGAAATTATGTGTAGAGCGTCCTTGTACGCGTGATTACCTTAAATCAATGCCAAAATTACAAAAATAAACATTTATAATAGTGTCAGCTAAATAACAGAATGATTTATACCAGTCTGTTAGTCAAATGAAAAGAGACATCGCATGGCAAATAAGTGCCTACAAGGAAAGTAACGGAACGATAAAGATTTGTATCCACGTCATATAATTTTTGAGGCACGGACGAGGACCTATAAACAAATTATCTTACATTGTGTATGAAATGTTAGCAGCTGCCATCATTATATTTACATTTGTAACTGTATTCTCTGATTTTACCAATATTATTATATTATAAATTAGTCATCATTTAAGTTATATCGTAATGGAATAAGTTTGAATCTTTTCCAGTGAATCTACATAAATAGCGGAAGTGAAGATAGTAGGTAATGCATGCCGGGAAACTTCGTATATACTATAACTTTATACAAGTTGTTAATTTTAGAGAGGATTACCGGTTTATTCCCACCTAGCCCACATTTGAAAATATCACAGGTACAGGAAGTTATCACACCTCTTTACCTGTGGCTATAGTTTGTTTCAATTAATTAACCATACAAAGAGGTAACCCCCAATATTGCACGCAAGCATCCAAGCTTGTGTATATTAAAGAATTGTCTTTGTTTTCATGAACAGTTTTATGTCTTATTAGTTAATTACAAAATAATTAAAATGTTAGTGAATATTTATCGAAGTCCTGCAGTGTGAAAATATGAATAGTAATCAAAGCTTTCTAGATAATTTGATTATTAATCAAAGCTGATTAGAGAAATTGTTCAATCTAAGCCATGTAGATAGAGTATAAATGACAGTTGATTTCTAAATCCTTAAACAGTTTCAACATGGCTAATGCTCAGCTACAGGTTGATTTTATGGATAATTACCGCGGTGGATTTTTTCTTGTTCATGTGGGGTACAAATATTCTGTGAAATCTCATCGTGGTCAGAGGTGTTATTCCCTATAGAGAGGAGGATGACATCAAGAGATTAGTAAGACGAGCAGCAGTGCTACCGGTTGTACCCGTGCACAAAGTTGAGGATGTGTGGTTTGCAGCACTGGAATACTTGGTTGACGACCGACCAGGAGTCATTCGATTCAGTGACTATGTCACAGAGACCTGGGTGGAGACTGATCGCACAGAATTCAACCATTTTGACAACGACGGAGCAAGAACAACAAACCATGTGGAGGGGTGGCACAGCCGCCTTAACAAGATCTGCAGAAGACCCCGCCCAAACATGTATGCTCTTGTACAGATGCTTCAGAAAGAGCAGGCAACCAATGAAGCAAAGATTATTCAAATAAATGCAGGAGGAAAACCAAGAACAAAGCGAAGGAAATACCGCCAGTTGGATTCCCAGTTACAGCGACTGAAGGACAGATTCAGAGCTGGACAGATAGATGTGGTGCTGTATGCAGGTTCAGCCTCTCATCTTAAATAAGATGACTACAAAATGTTATATGTGTTTCAATTTTATTATGATATGTTCAGTGCTGTGTTTGTTTTTAATTAATGACATTTGAATTAAAATTAGACAAGTAAAAAACTCTTTGTTTATCATGAAATTATATATATTGATATTGAAATAAAAAGGATGAGTATAAACATTTTGTATATTGTTTTACTGTGCTTTCCATTTCAATATTGTTGTTAAAGTGAGAATATTTATATTTTGGTGAAATATTTGTGCAATGCATTTAAGTTGAAAAATATATAAGATAATATCAAAAATTCACCCTTATATACATATCATGTAAACTATACTGATTTTTATGAAAGAGACAATACTTTTAGGGCAATTAAAATCCATTGTTCTTAAACACACACCAGTTCCTTCTAGCCCACATTTTTTAGCTGCAAACATAGAATGTGGACTAAGTGGGAATACAGGGGATTACCGGATATCGATAACAATTCTAAAAGTAGTTAAAGCTGTTAGAAATCTTGTCCCACGTTCGTTACAAAACATTTCTTATGTATAACGTATAGCTTTTCTAACATAGCTACCTAGTACCGAACTTTGCAAGCTGCTCTTTCCATGCTGATCTTTGAAAGGACATTTTCTGAATGGCAAAACTGGACGTTCGGGGTGGACTATGAATAATGAACTAGCCATCTAGACTTAAGTTGGACTGTATCTACAGAATGTTTTTACAGTGATGGAATTGAAGAGTTCAGTATTAATAATAAATTATTCGCAATCATATTTCATAATGAATAAGTTCATACTAATTATGAATTCAACATATTTCATGATTACAAAAAAAAAAAAAAAAAAATTCAAATGTCAGTTTTATCAGGATAATTCGATGGGTAAGAGATGTAGATGATAGCAATGGACTATGAAATTAATGTAATGTGTACAATTTTAAACTGTGAATTTTTTATAGTTTGGCCTAAAATGATTTTTTGTTAAAGGTAACGTAATGATGTGCGATGTTTTAATAGCAAATAACTAAACCTTTTAAATCACATTAATGCACTGGTTTTTGCCACTTGATATTCTTATGATTTGATGAATTTTACACGCCATATACACAAAGCAGACGTATGCAATGACTGTAAATATCGAAATGATGTTATCCGGATACAATATTTATCTTAAAAGTAAATGTTTCTGTTATAGTACATTTTTATGCGTGGTATGAAAAATATATTACTGTACAAATGAGTTTGTATGCCGGTAAAAAAAATTTCTGCAAGGAGAAAATGATAACTTTCAGATCAAAATGTTCTTTGAAATTGTCGCCTCAAAACTGTGCATTTTGAACAAATTCTTTGTCCATTATTGTGTATTTGATGATACGATTAGACTTATATCGAATGTACGTAATGAGTATGAAAGATGATAGTTATAAGATATATTAGTTTACAATTACCTCAGACAGTTACTGTGGAATTTCACATGACTTCCCATCACAATAACTCCGCCCCAGCCTGGTCCAAGTGCATAGAAGGCCATAAATGACGCCTCCATCCATACCTGCCATTAAATAACTGCTAAATATATCAAAATTTTCCTTACCAAAAGTTTTTGTTCGGTTAATGTCTATCAGACGTCGTAAAACGATGTTTTCCGTGATATACTTTTTTTAGTGTTGGCAATCTCTTTCTCCGATATGCTTATCGCAGACTTTAGTGTACATTTGATTAGAATGCAAGATAAACAAACCCTGGACTCCGCAAGTCTGGCAAAGTCTGGTTTGAAAAGAAATAACAGTCCCTCTCTCGCGCCATTTTGTGTGGTAGCTTGAATCAACATCGCCAGACCGAGTAACGGAGGAAAGAATGTGGTCAGGAGCATAAGCTGTAACAAAGGCAGGCATATACTGTAATAAAAGGATACATTGAAAAAATAACGTGTTTTTAAAATCGCACAAGATATAGAAATCTACGTAAGACTCTGTTTTTCACTTCATATACTTTTTTCGAGCATTCGTGAAAGCATCATTTCAGTGGTCTGATAAAACAGAAGATTTGGCGATATTCTCATCACATACAGTGTGTATGTCTTGTTTACTGACATTCAAATTAACATTATGCCACTAAGTCGTTAACTGATGGACAAATTCGTAACATGTTTATTAAAAAGATGCAGGTTAAAAGATATCATGGAGACGTTTAACGGTCGCCATAATGATCTCATTGGGAAATATACTATTCCTTTGTCCGATATAAAGCAAGGTGCGTTTGATAATCATAAGCTTGGTTCCGTTGTTGTGTATTTCTTATTTGAAGATGCGACACTACTGACTTGGATTGATAAAGATTCACATGGCGAGTATCGTTGAAGAAGCAGAAGATGCTTACTCTTCCGAAACATCTGTTGACATGTTGGTATTTTAATGTGTTTTAATGACGTCAAAATTGTAAAAGACTATGTTAACCTTTAGCCAATCACGATTTCACTATGTCTTAATTTAAGTGTTGTCATAACAATATCTATTTAACGGATGTAATTACAATGGTACTAGGGTAGTTATGAAATAGATGTCATATCGATTATTTTAATATGTTTCATCATTTGATTAATACTACAAACCTTTCCAACGGTTTTTACGCTCTTCAACAGACTTATAATGACGATCACTTTAAGGAGAATTGCCCAAAGCACGAGAGACCACCGTAGGGATCCGATTTCGTTTATACCTCCCGATAACGACAAAATATTATGCCTGTAATATAAAAACATGTTGGTGAAAACCTTACGGACACCATTTTGGTCTACCAAAAGCATAACGCTTTAAATTGTCACGAGTATTTTAATCATGAAAGAAATTTAAGAATTTTTAAAATAAAAACAAGTTTCATTTATCTCATATGTAACGGAAATAATTTTTTCAGTCGATTATTCAGGCAAATATTGCAGAAAATATATATTTGCATGTCAAACCTGAAGTCTTTTCGGACCTATGTCTGTGATCTACATTGGTAAATGTAACGCCTTACTTACTTCGAATGAGAACTTAAATAGTTGTTATATATCTGAATAGGTAGTGACTGTGTGACTCATATCAATTATTTTTATCTCATCATTTTACATCATCTGTTTCAGCGAGAGAATGTTTATGAGCTTTTCTTAATACACAGGTATAAAGGACAAAGCATTTGCATTACGTTTGATGATAAAAATCTTTATGTGCTGGATAAAATCTTTTAAAGTAGGTTATAACATGAAGATAGGAATCGGCGTGCAGTTATGCAAACCGTGTTTAATACATTAGAAATGCTTAAAAGACAAGAACAGGTAAGAAAATGCAACAAAGCCAGGCGGTCAAAGTTTTACAAGCATTTGATTTATTTTTCTTAAATTTCCCACTACTTATAAATATCTTTACTATTCTTCTAGTGATAAGTCCCACCGATAAATGAAATGAAAGATAAAAAACAATTCAGATATTCGATCTTTATAACCACCATTGCCTACAAAATCAAGCTGCCCTATACAACACAATCCAAAACAACAACAAAAACAATCCAACAGAAGACAAAGAGAACGAAAGCTGCCAAGCATTTGGTGTTATGATCAGAAGAAATGAATATATGTCATGTGATCGCCTTTGTTATATGAAAGAAAATACGTTTTGACAGTTTTGCTATACGCTTTCTAACACACGTATGTAGCAAACGCTTGTATGTCCCGTTGTTCAGCAATGAATATTACCAAAGACTGTTTGTAAGACTTACTGCCAAAATTCTTCCTCGGCTAAAACATCAGTAGAAAATGAGTGGGAGGAATTCCATTGGTCCCGATCGGTGGTCGACGACAACAGTGTACGAGACACTACACATGAATTGGTGTTCCATGTGTTCCCACACGCTGTCCATGGTAAGTCGGTCGTGAATGACTGTCTCAGATACTCTAGTAGCCAGTAACGCATTGTGGATACGTAGCTGACGTAACCTAAGTTTAGCAGGGCGATGGAAATACCAATACCTGTAAAATGTCCTGTGATGGTTACTGCGATAGGGACTGATTTGCTTGAACGGTTTTTACTTTAATTACTATAAAATCAATCATGTGAAAAATTGATTTCACCGCATACTCATTTATGTTTGAAATGCTTTAAGACAAAAAGTGAGAAATTGCCTCAGACATTTTTGAAACCTTTAGTTATGAAGATGAATGAAACAAACAAATAAAAATATCGACAAATGTAACCTTTAAAAATTGGAGAAAATTCCCATATTTCAAAGACGTCCTTTCCGGAATATTGTCCAATGAAGACTTCCAGAAAGTACAAAGGTATACCACAGGCAATCAAAATTACTCCAAATGCAAGCAAAAACGCACCTGTTAGGGAAAAACAAAAATACATAATATGTTCATCGTTTCCGACTAAGTATGCTTCTACTGTAAAGACGAACGGAATATTACTAATGAATTTTTTCTGAAAAAATGTTTAGAGATAGAAAAGTTTTTTTCCTTCTTCTTCTTTCTTTTTCCTTCTTTCTTTCTTTTCTTTCTTTCATTCTTTTTCGGTGCTTCAAAGACCAAAACATGACATATTCTGCATTTACTTGGATACACATTTGAACAGATTTACCTACTGTTCCGTCCACTTATTTCCCTTATGTATGTACAGAAAGGAGCAATAAAGACATAACCGAAAATCTCACTTACACAAACTGCTGACATGTCTTAGCAATATGTTATGTTTCTTATATAGAGGTGACATTATACAGAGAGGTGCCCCTTTCATCATCACCTATTCCCGACGACATGCTATCGTATAACTAATACTGAGGATATACACAGAAGTCGAAGTATGCTATAAATTGAGCAACGATAAATGATTTTCGTTTAACCCATGCTTAGCTGTCGTATAAATGAAAAACATTTGAATGCATATGTAACCTTGGATAATGCAAGCTGCAATATACCGCTAGCCCAGAAAGAACTTCTCTTTAGCTCGATCGGTTGAGCGTCAGACTAGTAAGCCAGAGGTCCCGGGTTCAAATCTGAGAGGAAGCATGTAAATTAATAATGACATATATATCTTACGATGACACGTCTACCTTAAGCAGAAGGAAACAAAAAACAGCAGATAAAGAAACGCCTTAGCGAGGCTGCTAATCGGATATCAGTGATGTGAAAAGAATAAGATACTACTGTTTATCTCTGTGATTATTATAAATAGATAAATTCTTACCTATTGTGATATGCTATATTAAACAACAACGATGGCTCTATATGAGTGGAAAGAACATTCAGAGAAAAAAATAGTTTACCTCCTCCATTTCTCCACACAAGGTATGGAAATCTCCAGAAATCCGACATACCAGTGGAACAGCCTATCAATGACACCACAAATTCAAGATTACTGCTCCAGACCACCCGTGGTTTCGATTCACTCTCTTCTGGATCCTCACCATCAGAGTTTTGTTTTGTAGAATGTCTGTCTTTCACCATTCTTTCACACTGCTTTTCTAAAATGAATGTTGAAAACTCGATAGACAAACCCAAAAATGGTTTTCTTTGGTGATTTATATAATGTATCACCGTTTGTTTTCACAAGGGCCAATAGAATTCATCTGAACAAATAGGAAAATCAATGTATTCACAGTAAATGCTCCAATGCTTTATCGCGAAAAGAGCACTCTACTTTAAAGTACATATGCTAGCTATTCCCATATAACAGACATTTTACATAGTGTTGATAAATTGTTCATAACAAGCAGTAGCAGTAATATTTAATCTTAGCCTTCTGAGACAGGTGTTCTCGTAACTGTCCCATAAAATATCTAGACCACGGTACACAAAATGCCGAGCTATCGCTATCTACCTTTTGAAGATACGCCGAGAACAACATTAAAATCTTATTCATAAGCGTCTTTTAAAAATTCTGTATAATTTTAGATTTTTATCTCCCTAATATTTGAATTTATGTAGGAATATCGTACATTAATAGGGGAAACAGATTTCACAATAATGTGCACGTCTGACTTAACGTTTTTTTAATGTTAATTGACTAAGCGAATATCCTATTCATACTCCACCAAATTCGATCGGTATCTTAAGAAAAGATACACTGTTTTTTGTGTTCTAAATCTGTAAACTCAATATAAGAGGGAATACATTCACCACGCCACCCGTCGTCAGATAACAGAGTCAAAGCAACCACAGTGTTGGTATTGGGTTTTCCACTGTATTTACATAACACAATATAAAAGAATATTTCATCAGTTGTAATAAAGTCCACATACATCGATGTGATTTTTGGATTGCATTTACCTCTGATATTGTTTTGGGTTTTTTTCATTACAACAGATGGAAGCAAATCTAAGTATATGCTCTCATGTAAATTTGTTTTATTTCACAGAACGTAATAGAAAAATTTTTCCCTGCCTAAAACGTCAATAACGGAAAATTCAAAAAAGAAAAAAAAAAAGATTTTTTTTTTCATAATGTCGAATATATTGGATAAAACCCTACTTTAGTATATGAGAAAGTTCTGCGAATATTAAATGACATTATCTTACAATAAGTGATAACTTTGACGTAAATTGTGTATTTCCTGATCGCAACTTATTCCAAAATAGTCGCTTTGAAAATTTAACCTCCTTAGCATAATGTGATTAATGATGTTGATACATCATCGGGGCATCAAAACAACATCATCTTAACATGATATCATTACACCCGTCATCATCAGAAGCATTAGCATGAGCATCATACGTCATCACGACATCAATAATAAATGTCATCACAGGTGCAATATCAATCCTCCTCATTATTATCATTAAAACACATACCTGCACACTCTTCCACATCCATTCTTTCATATACGACCACAAATTATCTTTCCCACTTATTCCATTTGTATGCACCTTTTCCTTTCATCATCTCCCCTTTATCGATAGTGAGATATTTTTAACCTTATAACGATCCTGGATGACAGAGTAAATACATTAATATTATAAAAACTGTTTATCAACTTTATATAGTGGATTGTTGCTATTGATTTTGCCAAAAAAAATGTTTATTTAACATACAATGAATAAATTAAGCCTCCAACAACATGTCCAGACTTTGAATTTGATTTTGTACTTGACTCCCAAAATAAAAGATCAATAGTTTCCCTTTTAGAATTACAGGAGTTGCAGACAGGACAAGCAACTAGCTTTGTTTTAAAAGAAAACGAGTTTGTAATCAACATATAATGCAATGTTCTAAACTGTGACCACCTCAGAGATTTTAGTGATTTGAAAAGGCAGTATTGCCTGGTAAAATAGACTGGATCAGTTCCTTCTATGCGATAGAACTTTCTAAATATGTCCTTATCATAGATATTATTCCATTATATTTCAGAAAATTAATATAAATGTATTTATTTTTTTTATAGATTCATTGTAAGAAAATGTGCGCTTGAATTGAAATCCTTAATCAAATCAGCAATTGCATGTCGTCTTAATTAAATGTCTTTATCAAACTGCTGTGGATAAAAAATGCCTTATCAGTAATAGTTATACATACCAGTATTTTATCATACAGGTGTTTGCAAGAGTGACTTCCCTTTAAGTGTTTTCATGTTATCTGAGATTTCTAATCTAAACCAACCCCCCAATATTTCTTTCCAGAAAATATCATTACAGCTATTTTGACAAAATTATATATACGTTCCGCCATTATTACTGATATGAACTTTCATTTTTATCAATTAATTTTTAGTTAATGAAAACTGATTCTCGCTAATATATTTATACTATATCGATGGCAACAGTCATCCTGATTCACTCACATGTGTATAAATTTCTGTATAATTTAGGCTTATCTCCATAACGGGCTTACATTTACCCATGTATCATTAAAGTCATCATTATTCAATATAATTTTTCGTAATGAATGTGTCAGAGAGCTTTTTACTGTATTTCGTCCGATTTTCTAGGAAAGGTACGGTTACATTCTCAACGTTTAATTTCTTCAATGATACATCCATTCTTAACCATAAAATTGTCTATTGCACAACGTAGACAGGGTAGCAGTTAAATGTTGAGATCATCAGAACGTATTATCTGGAAGAGAGCGATTCTGATTTGACGCGAATAAAATTACTAGTTCATGAAATCGTCCATTTTGGTTGTGATACTATGTAAGAGTTACTTCCCTTAACACATTAAAACGTATTGTACCTATAACAGCAATAGAGTGACATTTTGGGGGATGGTACCTCGGTTTCACACTGATTAACCTTAACCGCTTAACTACCACTTAAATATTTCTTTAAACACTGTAACGTTACATATAGCATTGGGAAAACCTTCATATCTTCCTTAGATATTTTATGAGAATGATAATATTTTGTTCTTAGTAAAATTTGGTTTGCAAAATAACACAATCATATTCTACATCATCATTTTAAGAATAAAAGCAGGGCTATAATGATAGCAAAAGAAATAATTGAAAACTCAATACTTATTTTCAATATTTGGTTGTCATGACAACATTAAAATGTATTAGATAAGATAAACCCTTTTATATGTTCATTTCGTTTTCTAAATGTGTAGTTCTGTGATACACACCTTCCATTTTTCGGAATGAAATTTTGCAGGCAGAAAAAACAGCCCCTGTTTTTACAAAAATAACGAGCTGAACAAATGTGTTTTATCATGTATCTAAATATATATGGTTTATAACTAAAAGTTCATTGCAAACGGGTGAAAACTGTTGTTAAAGTAAAATGACTAATTTTCTACATGTTCATTTTGGTTGTAAACTGTTAGACCTATATGTAGTACATTCATACGGAAAAGTATTAATCTTTTATAATACGCTGTGTTTATGGTTATATTACAATGTTAGTGACGAAGGGAACATCTAGTTCACGAGCTATCCAAACAAATTGCTGTTATGATTTATCATTATCATTATTTTACGGGTCCATGCGTCCTCGCTATAACCAGGGAAACATGCAGACGGGTGTCAAGAGCAGCCGAGATTCGAAAACAAAACACAGAAAGAAAATAAGTCTGAAAAACGATTATATCAAGGTCTGCTGTATTATCCTAGGGACAGCAAATCTATGTTAGTATCTTCAATGTCCACTTGCTTAGACAAAAGACACGGAAGAAAACACCCGATATAAAGGGGATTGTGTTTATAAGAGATTAAGCTCACTGCGAAGGAGGAGCAAACTATATTGTTACCTTTCGATTGGTCTCTGCCTCACCTCGCATTTAGCATATTTTCTAAGTATTAAGCTCTGTCATTATTTGGTGCTCGCGCATGCGCTATATTCACAAAGTCGCAATTGAAAACGGTCACAAATGAACTTGATTACTCAATTGGCTATATTTAGACCGTCTGGCTGGGAGCATTCCCACCTATTTCCCATGTCCAAACTTGTCACAGGAGAGATATTTTGATACTAACAATAGCTTTTAAAGTCATTAGAATGAGTTCTTACATGGTACAGAAAAGCCAAACATTTTGCAACTGAGACGGAAAATCCCTTTATACTTTATACCACTGCCGTGTGCGAGGCTATAACATCACCAACGTGTCCTAGAAGAACTAAACAGCTGTAAGATGAAACATCATTGACGAGTCCTGGAAGAACGAAACAGTTGTAAGATGAAACATCACCAACGTGTCCTAGAAGAACGAAACAGCAGTAAGTTGAAACATCCCTGACGAGTCCTGGAAGAACGAAACAGCTGCAAGATGAAACATCACCAACGTGTCCTAGAAGAACGAAGCAGCTGTAAGTTGAAACATCCCTGTCGAGTCCTGGAAGGACAAAACAGCTGTATGACAGAATTTAATTAATAGCTTGGCTCTAATTTGTCTAGCTCAATTTGTGTTTATAGGCGATATTCACTTGTGTGTCTTTTTTGCAACCATCAACACAGTAACCAAGAATCACACTGGTTCCTAATGTAAGGCCATTGTAAAATGCAAATTCGATTCATCTAGATATTCAATTAATTATTCTGCTATACTGTAACTATTTCTGATGTTGCTTTGAAAGGTGTTATATACTTGTGTCTTCTGTACAATCAATTAGTCTACGCAATATCGCTATATTGTTATCACAGTAGTGAAAAGCAACTGGTGTTGATGGCATTTCTGCCAGAGGATTGAACTCTTGCAAAAACATCATTTAGTCCCACTTGAACTTAACCTATAAATCTAAATTTTGACACAAATACATTTCCAATAAAATTTTGACAACTTCAAGTTTTACCTGCCTTTAAGAAAAGTTATCTCTTTATCGGACAATTTCAAAGACCTATTAGTATTCTACCTACAATATAAAATGTTTCGAAAGAGTCATACATGAAAAACTGTCTATTTTCTTAAAAGATATATTTCAATCCTTTTTAGCAGCTTTTAGAAAATATTTTGGATGTCAA